AGTGACTGCTTGTGGTAAAATAATTTTAATGCTGTTTATATTTGAACTGATTTTAAAGCCAATAATACTCAAGTCTTCAAATTCAAACAGCTTTATTGGCATGACTGGTAATTACTTGGGTTGCCAAAGCATGTGTAATCAGTATAACATCTACAAACATTTTACCCTTTCACCACTGTTCCGAGCTCGTCGACTCGACTCTCACCCGTGTTTTCTGACAGCACAGAACTGCTTTATCAATGCGCTTGACTGCTCTCATAAACGTCGGGCGTCCTCATCTGTTGCAGTGTTAAGTCACATAAGAAGATCAGTCCTAACGACCGAGTCCATAGATCTGTTCCTGTAATGCCGCTGGGAAAAGGAAAAAAAGAACTCCAACTACCATCATGCACGCCGGGGGGAAACGCCTTCAACTTCTCCCATAGACCTCCGCGGCTAGACCGTAAATTTGCATAACAGCGAGGATAGTCGTTTTTGTACATTTTTGACCTGTTGTAAGACGCGTATAGACTCGAATCCACTTTCACCACATCAGCGCACAATCCTGACTTCCACCTTTAGCCTCAGCGTCATATCGGAGAGGCGAGCGCGGCTCCTTCACTCCCACCCTGACCGGGGCAGCTCGGCGCCCGGGCCGGCTCCCTCTCCTCGCCCTGTACCCGGCATGCCTTAAACTAATGAGTAAGGAAAATAACGACCCGGGGTGACGCCCGAGTCCTCGCCACGACAAGCGAGAGCAATTTTTGAACGGGTACAGGTCGGAGCTGCCAGGTGACCTGCCTACTTTGCGGGATGCCGGCGGCGACGTGATCTGCCCCGACCCCCATCACTGTCAACCAAAAACAGAAAGAAAGTCCGAATTAAAGAGCGACTAAATATCGATTTCGCTCTGTTATTGCTCGCTGGTATCGTAGCGGCGGTGTGTCCAGTCGATCGGGCCGATGAAGACGTCGGCAGTGTCACTGAAACGGTTTTGCGAGCGAGTTCGACCCGCTGCCTTTCTTGAGCTCGGCTGGGGGGGAACAGGTTTAGTAAGTTGACGATCGCTTTCGGAGCAGGCCGGCGGCTGACGCCGAGGAGCGGGTCGGGTATCGGTGCTGAAAGCCCGGTGATTGTTGTCCGGTTCGGAAAGACCGACCCCGCCCCCGCCCCCGCAGCGCCCGGCTTCTGGGGCTGATCAGGGGCGGGGAGCTCCCTCGCCTGGGCGGATAGAGGCATTACAGCCCCACGGGACCGTGGACATCCTCCTCCTCTGGACTTCAGCGGGGTCTGTTTCTCCTTGACTCTCACCCTGGTCAGATATTCATGCTAATAAAGCACCTTGAATTGAATTGAATTGAATTGAAAATATTCAGCTGGTGTTTATTTTCTGTTTAGGATCCTGAGACATTCCAGTGTGTGTGTGTCCCAGTGGGGGACGCAGTGCTGTGTGTGTTGTGTTGTGCTGTGTGTGTGGTGGGTGTTGCTGTCAGTGAGCTTCAGGACCAGCTGGCTGAGGGCTCTTCTCTGGGCTCAGCTCTGGCTCAACAGGGTCTTGTGGTGCTGGGAGCTCTGCTCACTGGTTCTCAGGGGTGACCGGGGCTGTAGTGCTCTCTGTGCCTCAATCCCTCTCCCCTCTCTCTCTGTGCCTCAATCCCTCTCCTCCTCTCTCTCT